TCCAGAAGATGGTGTGTGGCTGGCCGCCTCCCCGTGGCCACACTGGATAACGCTAGCGCAGCCGAATATATATATATATATATTGAGTTGCAGGAACAGAGTAAATACGTACACGCTTCACGATGTTCCAATGTCTAAAGTGCGAAAGGACCTTCACGGCGAGAAAAAATTTGTTGAAGCACGGTAGAGAGCGGTGCAGCCAAGATGGTGAGCCAGCATCGAAGCGCATCTGTCTTCGAGATGGAACAGGTATTGAACAATTAGAAAATAAAATCGAATAAAATCACTAACAGAATTATCTGTTTCAGCATCCTTTAACCAGGAAGGTGGTACCTCCAGCATTCCCCAATCCCCAAGTCTCGAGAACAGTAATGCATCATCTTCGCGCCGCACTGCAGGCAAGTTGCAATGTTCTCGATGTCAGCACGCCATAATTTACTGCGACATCTTAGAGAGGTCTGCATAAGCGAGAAAAGACCTTCCAAGCAACAACGTATGGAGGGTGAGATTACTAACAATGAGCCAACTATTGCAGATTTCATCACCCAGACAGCCGCAGCTGTCAAAATTAGACGAGTGAACCCTGCAACACCCCCCGCGCAGTGCCTGGAACCAGTCGAATGAGTCCTACACCATCCGACGTCGTAGTGCCGGGCGCAAGTCGAGAGAGTTCAACCACCGGCAACAATTCACAAGCGAGTGCGGGTAGCAGGACAATTCGCTGTGAGAGTTGCAGCTGTGAGGTAACGAGGAATGCACATGCGGCACATCTGAAAAGCATTAAACGTAAGGCACATCTATGGAGACCTTTACAAAATAATGTGTCAGTATGTCGAAGTGGATTCCGAGGTAGAATAGTTAGTTATCAAATAACCGCTAGCATAGAGACTTTGAACGTTACTGAATATATGAATAATGTGGCACAGGACTCCATAAACGTAATTGAAAATGAGTTGCATAAGCATACAACACTCAAAATAAATATGGAACGTTTCGGTTTATATATTTTACCAGCTAAAAACCGACGAGAGGTAAAGTCCCACAATACGAACAATGTAATAATTACACAATCCTCAAATTTGAATCAAATCTATTATGATCTAGGTAGTAAAATCGAACAAAAATCGAAAGACTTTGCAGAAAAAGACTCAGGGTGGGTGTTGGAAAACATTTTATATTTAGAAATTAATATTAATAAATATAATCCTTTGAGGGCAGCAGCATATTTGCCGCTTCCTAAGGAAATCACGAACAAAAAAAGCTGTACTCAACATACGTAACACGGATGAGTACTGCTTTGCATGGTCGATTGTAGCTGGTATGATAAAACCAAAGGGTCGAGCGTCACTAACAACGTCATATCCACATTTTTCGAACATTCCTGGTTTAACTTTGCAGGAATGGACTTTCCAGTTGCTCTCAAGTCAGTATCAGAATTTGAAAGATTGAATAATATGTCAATTAACGTTTATGGAATAGAAAAGGAATTCATTGATGGAAAGTCTAAATATCAGGTGGTAGGACCGTTACATTACACGGCGCAAAAACAACCCACTCATCTGAACTTATTACTTATTGATGATTCAGAAGGTAACTATCATTACTGCTTAATTACCAACTTTTCAAGACTCGTTTCAGGTCAGTTGTCACTTAATACGAGAGTAAAGCATTTTTGTGATGGCTGTTTGCAATACTTTGCATCAAAAGACAAACTGGAAATTCACATCCAAAACTATTGCAAACACATTGCAGTTAAGCTACCCCAACTGGAAACCAGAGTTGATCGCCTTGGAAACACGGTAATGGATAATGTGCTGAAATTTGAACAGCATTACAAACAATTAAGACTACCGTTTTGCGTTTATGCGGACTTTGAATGCATCCTAGCTCCGATAGACAATCGCTCAAGTGCTTCAGAGGATGTATGTACCATCAAAAAGTATGAACATAGACCCTTCTCATTTGCTTATTATATTAAATGTTCTTATAATGATTCACTATCCAAGCTCGAACTGTATAGGGGAGAGGGTACTGCACAAATTTTTGTTACGCGCTTAGAGGCTGATCTTAAATTAATATATGATCAATATTTAAAACAAAATGTAGCGATGAAAATGACGGCGCACGATAAAAATGTGTTTGATAAAGCAGAGGTATGTTTCATTTGTGAACATCCATTTACCAATACAAATAGAAAAGTTAGGGATCACTGTCATTTCACCGGGCAATATCGTGGCGCAGCACATAGTAAATGCAATCTAAACTATAAGATCCCAAAATACATTCCAATATTTTTCCACAACCTCAAAAACTATGATGCACATCTATTCATAAAACACCTCGCTATGAAGCAAGAACAAATTAAAGTGATTCCACAATCTTTTGAAAAATATGTTTCATTTACGAAATTGATACCTGTAGACACGTACATTTCCCACGAGGGAAAATCACAAACTGTATTTTTGCAGATGCGATTTGTCGATTCATATCAGTTTCTATCGTCAAAATTAGAAACCTTGGCATCCTTTTTAAGCGCAGAACAATGTCGGACGGTACGAAAAGTGTTTCCTGAGGACGAAAAGTTCTCCTACATGAGATGCAAAGGTATATTTCCATATACATATCTTAATAGGTTTGATAAATAGGATGAAACATGTTTACCATCCCAACAAGACTTTCATGATGAAATACGTGATGAATCACATTTCTGACGAGGATTATGAGCGAGCACGTCATGTCTGGGAAGTAATGGGGTGTCAAAATTTGGGGGAATACTCTGATTTTTACTTGACTTCGGATGTTCTTCTTTTAACAGATATCTTTGAAAATTTCAGAGATTTGTGCTTAAAAACGTACAAGCTTGATCCAGCTCACTATTTTACAGCCCCCGGTTTGAGTTGGGATGCGATGCTACGATACAGCAAAGTAGAGTTACAGATGCTTACAGATGTTGATATGATTCATTTTTTTAAAAAGGGAATTCGGGGGGGAGTCAGTACATGTACCTCACGTAAAGTTGAGGCGAACAATAAATTTCTATCACATTACGATCCGTCAAAGGCATCATCGTATTTAGTTTACCTTGATGCAACAAATTTGTACGGTTATACGATGCAACAGTACACCTACCAACTGGTAATTTTGCATGGTTAACACGAGATGAGATGGATAGGATTCAAGAGACAATTACACAGATTTCGGATACATCGGATATTGGGTATGCATTAGAAGTCGATTAACCATACCGACTGAGCTACATGATTATTTCAACGATTTACCATTTTGTCCAGAAAATTTTAAACCACCCGACAGTTAAAGCTCAAAATGAATTCCAAATTTGCACAACAAAGAAAGCTACATTATCCATTATTGTAATCTGAAACAATGTTTGAAACATGGTATTATTTTAACAAAAATTCATAGAGGCATTAAATTCACACAATCTGCCTGGTTGAAGTCCTACATACAGTTAAACACCACACTTAGAAATGCAGCACTGAATCCTTTTGAAAGAGATTTGTTCAAACTAATGATGAATTGTATTTTTGGAAAAACCATTGAAAACATGGAGAACAGAGTCGACATCAAATTAGCTACTCAATATGATAAATCTAAACATAAAATAGGTGCTGCAAATTATATTAGTAAACCAACTTTTAAAGAGCACAGAATATTTTCTGAAAACTTAGTAGCCATTCAAATGGAAAAAACAATGATTGATTATTGTCGTCCCACATATGTTGGCTTTTGTATTTTAGATGCCTCAAAAACGGTAATATGTGACTTTTTCTATGACTTTCTGAAGCGTCAATATGGTGATAAGGTGTCTGTAGCTTACACGGACACTGATTCGCTAATAGTACATGTTGAAACCGATAATTTCTATGAGGACATGAAATCACACATAGATTACTTTGACACATCCAATTATGATGCTTCCAGCCCACATAATATGCCTCAAACAGCGTCAGAGTTGGGTAAGATGAAAGACGAATATGCTGGTAAGATACTGTCTGCATTTTATGGTACAGGTCCCAAAGCATACTGTATAGATGGGGTAGACCAAGTAGCTAAACGAGCCAAAGGTATATCTAAGGCGAGTGTAAAAAATCAGTTACATTTGCTACATTATAAGGATATTGTTGAGGAGAAACGGACATCTGTATACTGTACGATTTATGTATTTAAATCGGAGTCACACAATATCTACACAAATTATATAAAAAAAGTAGCATTGACCAGTACGGATGATAAACGTTTCTTGATACCAAACTCAACAAAGACATTAGCTTGGGGTCATCAAGATATATTATTTCATAACATGTCAGATGAGGAGCGCTTGGATACATTACTGCACTTGATGCAAGAAGGCATTGTGTTAGATAGCATGAGCATAGAATAGGGGTTTGTGGTGGGGACAAGAATATAAATATATTCTTAACAAACGCACCTCATTCAGTTTCAAAGATGAGTACTACGACATAATATTCACTGTTCATGCAATTGTGTCATGTAACTGAAGAGGTGTTGAAAAACCAGCTTCGACAATTTGTGACTCGAAATCCAGAAAAACGAGAATTTCCAGGGCTGGATTTTGTGCTAGAGGAAATTACAATACCTGACGAAGTATTCAATTGGATTACCAATGCCCACAGTTGCCATCCCCACGTGCTTTCCAGTGTAATAACAAAAAAGAAACATCTAGATTGGGTGGTACAGGAAACACTGCAAAGTTTAAAAGAGAGAGATTATGAGGTTTTAAGCATCAAAGAATTTGGAGACCTACTGGAAAATATGCCCTACACACCATCAGCATATGAACAATATTATTTATGTAAGTTGTTATCTGATAGTAACTATGAAGATGTAGATAAACCGCATCCTGTTGAAAATATTACGAAGAGGTATAAAGACATTGTATCACATATCGATGAAAGCATCTGTAAAATCGCATATCTAGCTGATTGTGTATCACTAGAACGTTTAATCGATATTATACAGCAGCATGATATTAAATTTGTATTTGATGTAGAAAATAAGATGAGACATTATACTGTATTGAAATGGATAAAGAAAAATATAGCCAAGGTAACATTGGAGATGAAACCCTCGGATGGACCTCTGGACCCTGTAGTGTGAAATGGCCATCCACCAAATTCGAAGATTATGTAGCATGTTTAAAGATCTTGTGTGATTTATCCAAAACGTAAATACTCTGTGTGTGACAAAATTCATTAATATATATATATATATATATATATATATATATATATATATATATATATATATTTATATATCTATGTCAGCATGAACGGTAGTATCATTTTCCCTTGCACTTGCGTCAACTTTTGGGAGGGGGAAGTTGGTGAATGGAGGGGTGATCAACACTGTATAAAGTTAGCCACGAAGCTTCATATACCAGTCTTCTGAATTTCACATAACGTTACAACATGAGTGCTGGTGTGCAAAACGACAAGGGGGTACGATCTGTACAAAGTGGGGTAGATCAGACATCGTTAATTGTCATCCAGGAGCAACGATATCATCTAAATCCATCGAAATCAAAATGGATAAGCATTGGTCGAGCATATCAGTGGAGCTTCCACCCTGTAATCAATATCAGTGGTTTGAAAAACAATGGCGTTACGTTAAATGAAGAAGACTGGTATGAGATATTAAATCAAGAAGGAGCTATAACCAATTTTTTCTTCAGTGATGATATTTTCCATTCGATCAGTGCCAACTCCGTCTGTATCACCTTTGAGAGATTTCCAGATTTTCAAACAATCAAAATTGAAGATCGATGGAGAAACGTCGTTTATTTGGGTAAAGAGACCGTATTGAAGCTATTTCAATTAGCTCCGCTGATTGCCTACACCATTAATATGCTGAAAACTCAGGAGCTTAATAAGTATTTCAACACACTTGTCCAAGATGTGCGAACCACCAACATGGATGTGCGAGACTTCGTCATCCAACACATCTCTGATTTGCGGCATTCGGAGAACATCAGGACTGCTATGGAACTGGCATACCAATATCCAAACTTGAAGGAATTCAACAAGGCTCCAACGCTGAAATTTTATTCAGACTATCCTAACTATTCTGTGAAGTCATTGTAATTAAAAAGAATTTTAAATTACTTATCGTGTTTTATTGAAAAAGCTGTGTTATAAAACTGATTGGTTTAAATAATATACATGGCATGCAAGTAAATCACTTTTTCTAATCCACGAATTATGTCTGTTATCCAGTCCTAAGTACTTGACTAACACTTTATTTTTTTTACGTCGCACCACTTTCTCTACAAGATAGATATTTGGATACTTGACTTTTTGAAACTCCTCAGCGTAAAATCCACCTAGAATCTTGTCACCGCTCGAATCAGCCAGTAAGTATGATGTGGAATTGGTATACTGTATTTTATGGATTGTGAAAATTTCATTGGACCAGTTAGGAGTGCATCCTTTAGCAAATGCTGTCCTATGTTTGCTTATGCGGACATGATCTCCACGTTGATATTTTACACCCTTTGGATCTAACGTTTTCAAATGTGTGTATGCCGTTCTCAACAGTATTTTTGCTGTACTTTTGTTCACGTCTTTGGGTTTCATCCCAATTGTGCTGTGTTTGGTGTTATTATATGCATCAACGATTGATGATAGGAGATCTAACCATTTATACGATCCCTGAAAGCTGAACTGCTTCCACATACGATTCTTCAAAGTGCGATTCACCCTTTCAACTACACTTGCTTTGGTCGCTGATTATGTAATGATTAATTTTGTACGCTTCCATTAACTTCTTAAAGTCACTATTGTAGAATTCTTTACCCAGGTCTGTTTGTAAATTTTTCGGAATTATCTGCATTTGCGATAAAATTGTACTCATTGCAGCTGTCACATCTTTTCCAGTTTTTCGTTTGACTGGTTCTGCCAACACAAATTTACTAAAAACGTTGATGACAATTAAAATGTAACGGAATCCTTTGTTAACTTTCTGATACGGAAGCATTTCCACCAAATCTGCCTGTAGGAGATCGTTGATACCCTTCACAATAACGCGTCGACGTCTATAATTTCTGCGAGCCGGTTTATGAAGTTCCTCAATGACCTGCTTTTTAAAGTCCATCATTCTTGTATGATTGGACAGCGCATCACGATATTACCTATAAGGTCAGGTTTTGGTTCATGAGATGAATAGAAGTTCAGAATATCCCCTTTCGACAGGTGTGTGTCGACTTTGACATCACTTTGACCACATTTCACTCTTATTTTGGGAGGTATATTTATACTATCAACTATCCCGGTCACAGGAACGATATAGTCCCTACTATTTTCACCAAATGTGTAAAAGAATGTGCTGAATGTGTTGGAATAAATGGGTACCACACATACGCTGAATAGTTTAGATGCTGGAAAAGCACTGAAGATTGAAGATATGTCCCTCTTTTTTGAATGGAGCATATGTCTTCCAAATTTATCAATTGGCATCTTGATCGTACAACTGCAGCAACGAAAATAGAGTAATATTACGTTACAACTTCATTTTATAATTTTTAATCTGCGCAACTCCTCAATTATAGACATCATTTCATTATTATGCCCGTTATTACCAGCATACGCAGATGCGATGAGCAAGCGCAATCGATTGACCAACTCATTGGGATCATCAAAATACACATACTCAATTGGTTTCGAGGAATACTCTAATATACCACCCCTTACATGTTTGAATGATTGTGATCTGGGTCGAGCTTTAGGAGGTGCCGGTTTCTGAAAAGACCCCGTTTTGCTTGCACCCTCAGCGGATACTTTTATTAGATTGTGTTTTACTAAATATGGTCGAATTATTGTTTTATACTTGAAAGTGTTTACTCCTTGAATTTGTAAATTAGAATCAAAATTACGTCGATATGCATTGGTCCGTTTTAGCATATCCATGTAGTGCTCCAGATAGGTCTGATTATATCCACGAGGGTCTTTCTTGAACAACAACTCGTACAGACCTGGCGTTTCTGGATATCTGATATTGTCTAAGATTAGATCCGACTCCTCGAGGGTTATTGGGGTATTCCCCAATTTTAATTTTTCGCCGATCCAATCGTGTGTTATACCGTGATATCGATCAAAATTCTCTTCATCCCCCCGTATAGACTCATCGATATATTGACGAGGTAATGGATGGAACTGTTCCAAATAACTTTGATAACCAGGTGTTTTGCTTAGGCGCCGAAACTCTTCCCGTGTGTGAGCAATCATTTGCTCGTCAACATCACGTTCTCGTTCTAGTACTGTAGCATCGGGACGTGATTCTTCTATCCCGGAAACGTCTTGTAGAATAGAGTGCTTGGGAAGGTTAGAGAATGTGTCTTCAAGGAAACTTGTAGTAGTGGGGAGGTATCTATTGTATATATTTGTCGGTGTTAATTTCTGTGAAAGTGTTGATTTCTGAGGTGTTGATGTTTTAGATTGGGTTTCCGATTGGGCAATATCCGACTTTAATGCTCGATACTATTCTTTGACTGCTTGTCTGGCTTTCACCAATTCCTTTGCAATTTTTGGATCCATATCACGTATTATGGAGAGGCTGGCGTAACACTGGTACTGCTAATCTTACACGCTCTTTATATACCACACTATAGGTATATATACTTGTCGAAACCTTTCCGATACCTCCCATTATTTTTGGGTGAATCTTTATCAACCACAACAAAACCGTATGGTTCCTGCCAGCACAGTGAGCAAAGATCTTTAAACTGTTGAAACGACATATCCAAGCTAATGTGATCATCGTAATATGCTTCAAATTAATGCATCTTGTGCTAAAAGTATGAGAAGATTTGCATTATCTCTTAATAACTGCTGGGGAATTGCTGTGTATGTTTGACACAGGTAGAAGCAATCTGTATTTTTGTGTCGCCCAAAACTAAAGTACTGACGCATTATATCCTGATTACATGATGCAACATCATCAACAATCATAATCGCATTTGATTCGATTTCCGCTGGAGGCTTAATATCATCACCGTTCGTGTACTCGTAATATCCTATCTCTTTTAGAGGTTCTAAAACTGAGCGAAGAAATTGATACTTTGTTTGGTAGGGTGATTTACAAAACAAATAGACATTTTAATATCGTAATCCGTGAGGGTGTATTAATAGGGTGATCATGATATTAGTCTTTCCAGCACCACTATTACCAACAATTAGAGCCCGTTTAGAAGCACCATTGAACACACTTCCATGTTTTCGGAACGTTTTTTCTTGCACTATTGCATCGTAATTATCTACCTGAAGCGTTGGTATCGTCTGCTCAATTCTCATGATGTTGTGTGATTACTAGTAGCCATCCAAATGGACTCCTATATACCTGTATAGTACCTCCCGCTCTATTCGTAATAAGAGTATATAATGATTGTGCACTCCACCATGACACGTACTTTCCAGCAGACACCGATCGTGCGAGGTCGCGGCCTCATTTCCAACGTAATAGAAAATCTCCCTTTCGAAGCCCACATCCCAGGTTACAATTTCTGTGGCCCGTCAGCCAAACTGCAAAAGCGTCTTCAACGAGGAGATGTTGGTATAAATCCACTTGACGAACTTGACGAATTTTGCAAACAACACGACATTTTCTATTCTCAGCAGAAAGATCTCACTGCGCGTCAACAAGCGGACAAACTTTTGGCTGATCAAGCTATACAGCGAGCCTTCGCATCCGACAGCTCTTTTGGAGAACGAATGGCAGCTTTGGGAGTTGCTGGAGCAATGAAAGCTAAAAAAAGATGGGTTTTGGCCTGCGAAAACATCGTACACAACAAAGAAAGAAACGTTTGAACAAGATGGGAAAGGGTCTGCGAAAAAAATCACCAAAATCGCAACGTTCCAAGCGACGTTTGCGGATTCTGCCTCTACCGAAAACAGGTGGCTTTCTACCTTTACTTCTACCTATACTCGGGGCTCTTGGAGGTGGTGCTGCCTCCATTGCAAAAGCTGTCAATGATGCTAAAGCCAATCAGTCACAACTTGCGGAACAGAAGCGTCATAATTTGGCTTTAGAAGCCTCTCGCAAGGTTTCTCCAACGGGAAAGGGTTTTTTTTAGCACCGTACAAAAAAAAAATGCTAAGGCACCTACCATCCCATGCGCTTTCCGATATTGAACTACTTTACTTTGCAAAACAACTTAACATTCCTTTTTTTCGAGGAGTATTCATGAAAGATCAATTACCAAAGGGTATACAGACTTGTGAAAGTGGAATTGTTAATTTGGATGACTCGTCTGGCAACGGGACTCATTGGGTTGCATACGTGAAAAATGGCAATCTTGTCTCATACTTTGATTCATATGGGAATCTGCGCCCTCCACTGCAGCTGATAAGATATTTTGGTAGCAGTGATAAAAATGTTCGCATTGTATACAATTATACTCCAATACAAAAGTTTAATGCTCACAATTGTGGACAGCTATGCTTACAATTTCTATATATTTCTTAATGTTACTCCTAATACAGAAGTTGTAATTCAAACGTTCTACAGTAATGACGTCCCTCACATTTACGCTGTCGGGAACTTCTTCCACTCTCCAATCACATTTTAATCCCCCGCTATATCTTGATGATAATGTGGACTATAAAATCGGGTTGTGCAACTTTGAATCCTTCAATGTTATTCCCAATATAGACGAAACTAATAATAAGTTTCCATGTGACAATGAACTACTTACATTTCCTACAGGCGCATATGAAATTCGAGATATTATTGATTATTTAGATCAAAATCTCCCAGAAGGGAAAATTATTAGCATTACACCTCATATGAATTCCACAACAGTTTCTCTCAAAGCCAATTTTACGATTGATTTTTGACAGAATGGTACCATTGCATCTCTTCTCGGATTTCAACCTCGACGTCTTGACCCAATCATTAGACATACGTCTGATTTTCCTGTGCAAATTTTGAAAGTGAATTCAATATGTGTTGCTTGCAATGTAGCCACAGGCTCATATTCCAACGGTGTGCCAAGCCACATTATCCATCAATTTTTTCCGTCTGTTTCGCCCGGGTATAAAATCGTTGAATCACCTCAAAACATTTTATATTTCCCAGTGAGTGTTAAAGCAATCACAACCATTACCGTCAACATTGTTGATCAAGACGGTCACATAATTAATTTTCGTAACGAGACCATTACACTTCGACTTCATTTACGATCCGGTAACAATGGGTATTAGATATTACGCGCCTCCGATCTCTTTTCCCTATAAAAAGCGAGGTCAGTCGAAACCATCTATTAGTGGTAAGCCGTCCCGCATACGCAGAAGATCATTTCGACAACAATCAACATTGCAACTTACTAACGATAATAGAAAATTTTTGGAAAATCTAGGTTTTCACGTGTTGTAGGATGAGTATTCTCAACGTTACACAAAAACCTCTTGTTGATAATAATTCTATTACAGAACTAGAGTATCACACTTATCAACCTTTTATCAATTCCAGCTTGGACTACAACGATGAAATTCGCATTGCTGTTCAAGAACTAGATGCCTATACCCTCCCGTCACAAAGTCTTTTGTATCTCGAAGGAGAATTAACCAAAGCCGATGGAACTGCTGTTACGACTAAAAACGCTGATGGAACTACTGTTACAACTCTGCAATTAATCAATAACGCTTTTGCTTTTCTGTTCCGTGAGCTCCGTTATGAACTGAACGGAGTTGTAGTCGATTCCGTTCGAAATGTTGGTCTTACCTCCACCCTTAAAGGGTATCTGTCTTTTAATGAAAATGAGAGTTCACGCTTGCAAAATGCTAGCTGGTTCCCAAAAGACACTTTTATTTCGGAGTCTGGCAAGTTCAATGTTTGTATTCCTTTAAGCATGTGGATGGGATTCTTTGAAGACTATCGAAAAATTCTCCTCAATATGAAACAGGATTTAGTATTAATCCGTAGTAGTCATGACCTTGATGCTGTTGTAGCAACTACTACATCCGAACAACCAAAAATTCGGATTGATAAGATTCAGTGGAGAGTACCCCACGTATCTGTTGACATTCCTCAGCAACTAGCTCTACAAATCTCAACAAAACATGGAAGTTCCACTATATTTTCGCAGTTAGGAACTAGTAGAGTATCCATCACTCCCTGAAACAACGCGTCACACCTGGCCAGTCAAAACTACAACGAAGCTCGAGACCCCTAGACATGTTATCCTAGCCTTTCAAACTAATAAAAAACAAGTATCTACCTCCAATATGTCACAATTTGATCATTGTAAGTTGACCAATATTCGGGTCTTCCTCAACTCCGACCGCTTCCCATATAATGATCTCTTTTTGGATTTTAAAAACCAAAAATTTGCTCTCTTGTATGAAATGTACTCAAAATTCCGCTCCTCCTATTATGAGAGTGAAAATGAACCTCTGTTTTCCCCAAAAGATTTCCTTTCTATTGCCCCTATCACACATATTGATTGCTCTAAACAGAAGGAAAGTATCCAATCTGGATCGGTGGTTATGCGAATTGAATTTGAGACAAGTGAAAATGTTCCTCCGGAAACATCTGCTTACTGTCTCATCCTACACGATCGCGTTTTCACCTACAACCCTTTAACCAAAATTGTTAAACAGCGATAGAGCTTAATCAATCATGACCAATCACAATATAAATATCTTTGTTCAGACTAAATCTCCTTCATTCTCATTATGACAGCATCCTACAGACAAGCTCTCAGAGAGTATTATCAGAAATTGCAAAGTTTGAAAGAAGCACTCAATTCCCATTGTCAAAGACGCATTCTATATACAAAATTCTCCAACTTACAAATATGAGTGTCGTTTTGGATGTTCAAGGATTTAAAATTGAAATAATAAATTTCTCGCAAAAGAATTTTGCGCCTATGATGGTGTTAGGTTATGTCATTATATTTTCAAAGCTCCTTTTCCTTGGGATTTGCTGCCACCACCGTTGAAGATTCAGGCGAAGTGGTTGACTGATTTAATGGATCTCCTGGAATTCAGGGTTTACACCCCTACATAAGTTTGGAAACATTATTAAACATATTGCGGATGGGGCAGACAGAATTTATGTGAAAGGACGTGAAAAAGCAGCCTACCTGAGAAACTTCACCAGCAAACCAAAAATCGAGCTTGAAGAGCAGCCCCGCCTCACCCCTTCACGGCGAAGTGCTTTTACCATACAACAGATATTTGCATGTGTGCGATGTCTAACGTTTTTTATTTGTATGAAAATTTCATCATGTCATTATTGTTGTCAATAAACATATGTTTCTTCATTTAATGTATTTTTTACCCCTTCCCCACATAACACTACACAATATTCCTATCTTACAATCTTTATTATTTTATAAATACATCAAAGCCTTGCTTCTTCCCCTCTATTTTTACATTACATACTCGAAATTTTACTAAACCTACTTCTTACTACTTTTTATACATATCACAGACATACCTCCACTTTAATAATTTACACTTTAACCCTTTCTGTAAACACTGTTTGCCTATAATCTACTGTCAAGTATTTTTTTAACACTTCTTCGACTAGTTGCACTCGCCTTTGAAACCTACATCTATCTGCCATCTCCCCGTTACTTCTTCGAGCTTCTCTATATGCATATTGCCATGCATACATGATATGTACTTTGTTTTTTATTTCGTTGAAGGACGGTCTTTGGAATAATACTTATATGTTCACCTTCATTGCACATGTTACTTTTACTGGTGCACTTTTTAGTCACCCCACTACTTTTTCCTTCTACCAACATCGTCTCCACTCTCTTAAACCTTGCTTCCGTTTGCCAACAATACCTCCACCCTCTGAAACCCTGCTTCCTTCACTGCTGCACCTGTCGCAATCTCCTTCTCTCCTGTATAATCCATCTTAGTCTCGCACCACGACCCATGCCTGGAGGTATACTTCTCTGCATGGGCACCTGAATCAACTGATCCGAATTAGAACCTGCTTCATCATCCCAATTCTCTTCCACTGCCACTTCCGGCGCCGGATTCCTGACTCCATATCGGCTAACGGGTGTGGTGTCCATGGGTGTTCGGGACCCAGATGGAGGATGCTGCGGTGTGGTGTTCATAGGTGTTCTGGACTCAGATGGTTGATGCGGCGGTGTGGTGCCCATATGCGTTCTGGGCCATGGGTCGTCCCAATTTTCTTCTTCAGGATGTATTCTGTTGAATGGGCGTATAACCGCCACCGGCTTCCCCTCCCACACCGTCGGCAACTTAAATGTTTGTCTTGCACTCATTGTTTGATTCGTGCTGTCTGCTAACAACTGCCTCCTCTCCGAGTGCTGCACTAATTTAAACACATATTTCCAAGGTCATACCGTCTACCACTCACGACTTCAAGGTCACATTTCAAGGTCATATTTCAAGGTTATATTTCAAGGCCATATTTCGATTCAAGGTCACATTTCAAGGCTATATTTCAAGGTAATATTTCAAGGTTATATTTCAAGGCCATATTTCGATTCAAGGTCGCATTTCAAGGCTATATTTCAAGGTTGCATTTCAAGGTCATATTTCAAGGCCATGTTTCAAGGTTACATTTCAAGGTCACATTTCGAGGTTAAATATGCGTTCAAGGTTGGCTCCCAAGGTCGACTCTCAAGGGCGTTCTAGAACAGACAAACCCTACCTACTTTGATGAATATAGCAATCAAGTCAGAAGATTCAATGAAAAGGCCAACCATTCCTCACAGCGAAGGCGTCGCGAAAAATAGCACACTAGACGTAGCACGTGTAAATATAAGATCACTTATTCCAAGCTTTGATATGTTTTTAGGCATTAGAGCAGAACCTCCATACTACAGCAATAACAGAGATTTGGTTTACACCTGATTTTGACAGACAAGAAAGAGGAGGTGGCGCATGTTTTTATATCCATACCAACATAAAATTTAAAGTCATAGATTGTAACAAAATTTTTTCGGATGGCATTAGATCTGCGGTTATCGCTAAAACTAAATAATGAAATCAGTGCGGTAGGTGTTATTTGACATCTCCTGCATTAAGTTTACTTCCTCGCCTTGAGAATAACCATCCTTTCATATGCATTACCCATGATGAAGTTATATTGACCTCACCGATAAGTTTTCGAATCCCAGTAAGAAAAATCTTACAATCCATGGCATTATTCAATCTCGTTCAAGTTACTGGTGAACCTACAAGAATCACCAAGAATCAGCAATAACAGAGATTTGGTTTACACCTGATTTTGACAGACAAGAAAGAGGAGGTGGAGCATGTTTTTATATCCATACCAACATAAAATTTAAATTCATAGATTGTAACAAAATTTCTTCGGATGGCATTAGGATCTGCGGTTATCGCTAAAACTAAATAATGAAATCAGTGCGGTAGGTGTTATTTGACATCTCCTGCATTAAGTTTACTTCCTCGCCTTGAGAATAACCATCCTTCCATATGCATTACCCATGATGAAGCTATATTGACCTCACCGATAAGTTTTCGAATCCCAGTAAGAAAAATCTTAAAATCCATGGCATTATTCAATCTCGTTCAAGTTACTGGTGAACCTACAAGAATCACCAAGAATTCAGCTACTATGACTGATGTAATTTTTGTATCAAATGCATTGGATGTACACAAGAGTGGTACTATAGGTATGGGAAAATAACTGATCATAGATTATACTTCTGTGAATTGAAGATCGAAATTCCAGAATGCACTCCTAGCAAATTTTATTGTTGTGACTTTTCACACTTCAATTATGATGAATTTGCTGAGGATGCAACAGTCCTCCATCTTACTGAGAACAGTATCTTGCTGTATGACATACGTGCTCCAATGGAAATAACTACACCTCGTGAATTCTACAGGCCGTTCGTTATCTATATAATGAAATGTATAATATGACGGATTTGATGAAGGGCTTGTTGAAAATTTCATATTTCTTACGACCTGCAGAAGGAAGCATACAAAACCGTTTACCCGTGCCATCGGAACTACCTTCAAATTATCAGACTCTATACGCAAAGCCTTTCAAGAAAACGCAAGTTTCAAGAGGCAGCTGTCGTCTACATGAATGCTGGACTACATAAAGAGGCGATAGAAGAATATAGACTTGGTTTAGACTGGAGAGAGGTCATAAGGGCTTATGACGGTATTGAAGTATGATGAATCTGTCAAGCGAGATGATGTTGGGGAAGATTGCGGATGACCTGGTAAAAGAGAAACGGTAGAGGAAGCTGTGATAGTGTTGGAATACCATAATAAAGATTATAAGAAGACGATCAAGACTTTGATGGACTTCAAGTCCTTCAGGCACGCCATATGCCTATCACTGGGTCTTGATTTAGAACTGCCTACTATTGCCGACGGTTTGAGCAAATATCTAGGCGACCTAAAGGAAAAACTGTTGCCGTTCAAGGATCAGTTTGAACGGTACAGAAGGCGTCTGAAGATCGCAAGAAAGGAACAGATGAACAGGTTCGAGCTAGACGCATTGGGCATCTACAATCGAAATACGGAAGAAGAACTCTCAGACATTGCTAGCACTAGTTCCTCCATGCCATCGACTAGCTCTGGACGAACTAACTCCACCACTTTGACAGCAAAGAACAGGCGTAAACATATCAAGGAACTGACCCCTAAGCTGATCAGATTGTGCAGTCCTTTGAACTTTCGAATTGCTTGCAAATCCGTCCTCACTATAAACTGCATTTTTTCAAAAATGAAAGACAAAGTCCCGCTGCTTGGCTTAACCAACACAGTCTACTCCATCAATTGTAACAACTGCAACCAAATATACATAGGTTAGACCTCCAGATCTCTTAAAGGAAGGATTACATCACACAAAAGTGATGCTAGGCTTCATCCTGAAAAATGCGCTCTAGCATCTCATGTTAACACAACAGGGCATTCTATGAATTACACAAGTATCAAAGTTCTTGATAAAGAAAAACACCTTTCCAAACGTTTATTCCTGGAAATGTCCCACATTTTCATGAATAACAACTGTATCAACAAAAAGACAGATGTTAAACAACTGAGTGTCATTTACTCATATTTGCTAAACTGCGAAAAATTGGAGAACTTACATATCTCCCCAAATTTCGACTCTTCACAACCATAAATAGAATCTGTGTTTTGGCCGATTCCACCAGTAAATTTCATTCCACTCAAAATATAATAATTCTCTTCTCACGATTTATTAATAATTGTTAATTTAAATTCCCATTAATTAAATATAGTTTATTCAACTGCCTCTGGTCGGTTTAACAATTTCTCACATAACATTCTGAAAATCACATCATCTGAAATGATTTGGCAACGTTTGGCACACGCCCACAATTCGTTCCATCTTTCAACACAGACATTGACAACCTTCGGCCTTCTGTCAAAGGGTTTCATCTCACTCACTATTCCATGACCACCATTTTGTGCAATCATCAAGTGGCTTCACGATGTAATGCTCTAATGTTTTTTAAATAATTTTAATCTGTTTTAACTTGTTCTTGTCATATTTTATATAATTTTGACCATTGTACCATCTATCCAGCTCTCACCATGTTACTGGACGTTTCCCTCATCCTATACGTAAACAACAATTAGCAACATCCTCACATACTACTGTAAGTTGAGTCAATTTAAATTCATTTTACACTTTTGTTGCTACTGTTATCATTGTAATTGCAGCTCCTGATGATGATGGCAAAGTCCATTGAAAGCTAGAGAGAATTAAAAAAGCTATAAAGAGTCCTCTTTGCTTAAATTTTGTCGAAGTACCCAACAAAAGGCGGAAGCTTTAATTTTTCACCTAACTGGTC